AGTTAGCTACCATTAGCTAGTGGCAAACAGATGCTGACACAGCATGAACTGTGTCTCCTCAAACATCCAAAAATGCATGGCTCCAGATGTAGATTTCGCCATGTTGTTATCAGAAGAAGAGGCTGAGCAGTTTAATTCGCTGCATGCAGCTCTACCGTGAAATGAGATTTCACCTGTTTTAAACAGTCAAGTTTGTGTTAAAGTTGCAGTGATTGGACAAATTTGCATCAGCCCTCAGAACTCACAGGGATTAGCTGAATTTGTTTTATCTGTTGCAACTGCACTATCATGAAATCCTGGAGGGACTGACCCATGGGGTACATTAACCTCCACCCATTGGGTGATGTAGTTGAATGAGGGAATTTGTATGTCCACCAAAACAAAGGACCCTAATCGACTTTCCATTGTCACTGTTTCTGTGGGGTCGCCACTTTATTTTAACACATTAAGAGCCACCACTACCTGATGTGGGGTTAAGACATTGTGGACATTTAATTTCTATGAGACTATGTTGCTCTTTATGTTCAGTCCATCAACCAATCATCTGCAGGAACTGGTAGCTGGTTCCACTGATGGCTGCCTCGTCCCAAAGCACATCTGTATTTGCATATAGACATGAATGCACACACTAGACACACACCCACTGACATATAGATAGCAGCTGCATCACAAATGCGACCATAGTTGTAAAAGAACTGTATATTTATGGATTCAGTGTAGACAGAGAGTGTCCGACGTTACGTGATGCTATGCGATACCCAGACTCACTTGCTGTTGGACAGGGTGTTGCTCACACACACAGATGTGGCATGAATAATTGAGTTCTCTTTATCTTCCAGCTGTGTGTCTGTTCTCAGGTCCGCTTGTATTTTCACACAGTGATTCTTTAAAAAAAAAAAAAAAAAACACCTGAAACCACAAAAGAAGAAAAGAACAATTTGTTTGAGGAGGATGGAGAAGCCTCGAGAGGAGCTGGGGGGGGTTGCGTCTCTTCAACTCAGAAACAAGAAATGAGAAGTGACAAAGATAAAAAAAACAGAATGGCATCAAAACAAGGGATGAAGATCAGAGGGAGAGAAAAAAAAGGGAGATTAGGGATGTATATGTATGAAAAAAGGAGGCTTCCTTCTCTCTTCCTCCCTCCTCAGGGGCTTACAGTATCACATCTCCTGGTTCTCCGCTCTTTATGTGAAGGCAGCACGATGCTTTCAAGGGCGTTGGCAGCTGCAGGAGTTTCCTCTCATCTTCACCTCCTTCTGTCTATCGATCTTTCTCTTTATCTCTCTCCCTCCCTCTCTCTCTCTCCATCTCATACTCACATTTTCTCTCCGGCTGAATGAAACCCAACACTCCTCTTTCAAGCTTGTCCATCATCATCCACTTATCTCCCTCTCTCTCTCTCACTCTGTTTCCCAGTCACATTTACTGTCTCTCGCCCTCCTTCCCCTCCCTGCGAATGTAACGTTACACTCCTCTTTGAAGCTCAACCCCTCTCCATCCCTTTATCTCTCCATTTCTTTCTCCATCCTACCATCTGCCCGAGTCTGACATCAAATCGATCGTGTTTTTGGCTTCTTCGTTTTTTCATGATGTTTTGGCTGTGATGTTGTCGGCCATGTTTCCTGTCCTCCTCTGACCTCGTTGAAGCTTTCTGCCTTCCTTCTTTCCTTTCCTTCTTATTACTGTCAACATGAACAAATGTTTCCTTTAAGATGACACAACAAATGCTGCTGAAAGAATACTGTGTTTTAATTTGTGGGTTTTGTTAGTTATATCTGAGACTTGGTACCAAGAGAAAAAACAGTTTTTGATATGTAAATTTGTAAAATAGAACAACCCAATTACCAGAAAAAATGTTGGCATTGTACATTTCTGCAAACCACAGGTACGTAACAATTGCATGTTATTATGTAGCAGATACCTTGAATCTTTACGTTTCAACAAGGCTGTGGTTAATGTATGGTTAGATTTAGGCATAAAAATCACTTTGTTATGGTTAGGAAAAGATCATGTTTTTCTTAAAATAAGAGGGCACAGTCCCTGCTGTAAACCCAGAGCTAAAAAACAGCTGGAAAATCAGCAACTGCTGTCTAAAAACACCCACATTGGAGGCTGAAATGCTGCTGAAAAAAGCTATGGTTTGGGGCTTTAAAAGCAGAAGAAAAAACAGTGACAGGGCACGAAAAACATCCACATTTGGGGGCTGAAAAGCCACTGGAAAAACAGCAACACTTAAATAAAGACAGTTATTAAACCAGTTTCAACATCCGTCTTTGTTGGTTTCATGCAACAAAATTTGCATCATGTTTAATGAAAGCCTAAATAATGATAAGTAAACGTGCATGTGCTACAAATGTATTTCCTCGGCTGCGTACAACCAACTTAAGTATGAATGCGCGACACTGAGTCAATGTGACGTTAACGTTCGGTGTGAAACAGTCAAACGGTCCAAACTGGGACTAAAATAGAGTATCTCATCAGTTCTAATGAAACCTACAGAACTCCCTCTGTGAGCAACTCCTCTGAGGTATTTATAGATGCACACACACACACACACACACACACACACACACACACACACACAGTGTTGGGTAAAGTCAGATGTGTGTAAAGACAGAACAGAAAATAAGTTGTCAAGCTGATCTGTCTCACTTTTGGTTTAATTGGTGCAGCAAGAGATTCACAGAATTTTAATTGCTTTGGATAAAAATTTCCCCACACTCTATCTCATTTCACACACACACGCACACACACGCACAGCTCTACACATTATCATCCTCTCTGTTTCCCTTTAGAAAAGCACAAATTAAAGTTTCATTTAAAAAGTAAAAGGCCTTCTTCTGTTTGTAGCTGCATGCCGATGAGTTTTGTTTCTATCATGAAAAAATTCTGATAAAATCACCACACGCAGAAACATGTTTCACACTGCTGAATAAGATGTTAATATCAAAAGTTATTCTCTCTCACTTTTCAAATGAACTTCTTGTGATTCCTGTAACACAGTGGAGATTCAGTGTTAGCAGGTTTGGGTCCTTTTCACATTTGATCTGTTACTGGTACCTCAAATATGGTAGTTACCCAACAGTACCTTTTGTAGGCTCATGACAAAAATGTAATAGATGTTAAATGTCCCCAAAATAGAGATGTAGAGAGCAGTGGGTCCCAAGATAAATCCAAGAGGTCAGAAGGTAACAGTTGAAAATTGAAACCATTAGTCCCCAAGGAAAAAATCACACTTGTTCTCGGAGTCGTAACTAAGTCATATCTGAACGCACACAGATATGAAACACATCAGTTTAGATTCATTATGACATACACTTACTGAGGATATCATTATTTCTGATGTTCATAGTCAACAAACAAACAATAAATTCACTTGGAAACTACAGGGAAAAAAGGACGCCCCTTACAACTGCAGAACTTGCTTGAGAATCATCACATTTTTAAGTTTTCCTTAGTATAAAAGTATCCAGTTGTCTGTACACCTATGGCTACACTGCAAACAGGAGCCACTAATGACAAATTCAGTATACTTTCAATGGTGTCAATTTGCCAATATAAAACAATAAATGTCTATAAATCCACTTGAAAATCATAGAAAAAAAGACAGCCCTTATATGTGCAGAACCTGTCTGAGAAATATCATCATTTTAAGTTCTCTTCAGTATCAAACTAATCCAGTGATAGTTGTCAGCACATTTATGGGTACACTGCAAATGGGAGATGCTAATGAATAATATGTCTTTTTTTTTTTTCTTACAATGGTGCAAATTTGCCAAAATACTGTGTGTAAACTGTATCCAAAGCTGCTGTCTGCTTTCAACCTCACCACACTCATCTTCAATCTACTTTCTTCCATTTCTCTGTCCACCACTCCTCTGCCTGTATATTTTCCATTACTGAGTTGTGTGTGTGTGTGTGTGTGTGTGTGTGTGTGTGTGTGTGTGTGTCAGATGCATGTATGACGGAGAACTATATGCTTATTTTTCATGCATAACTAAACGTGTCCATATTTATTGTACATATTCCAGTTTACTTTGCAACGTGTGAGTGTGTGTGTGTGTGTGTGTGTGTGTGTACGTGCGTACATGAGTGTATATGTGTGTGTTTCAGGTGTCATTGTATTGCCCCCCCCCCCCCCCCCCCCTCCCCCCCCCAGCTATGTGGGCTGGATAATGGAGACATCAATTATTCAACAACGACACAGTCTATCGCATGAAATACCATTGACTCTGAGCGTGTGTGTGTGTGTGTGTGTGTGTGTGTGTGTGTGTGTGCGCGCGCGCGCACTTGTGTTTGTGTCACTTGGTTCGTTTTCTTTATCCAACTCTCTCTGACATTTCCACCAAATGTGCTAATGATCAATTATTCACCAGATCCTGAGAGACTGAATGAATGAATGAGAGAGATATGTATTTATTTATTGTAGATCTGTGTTTTATTGCCTTGTATGTCACTTTGTCAATTGGTAGAGGAGGAATAGGAGGAGGAGGAGATTTAAGGATGAAAAGACAAGAACAAAACAAGTGATGGAAGAGAAAAAGAGAGAGAAGAGGAAAAGGAAAGAGAATGGGAGGAAAGTTCTGCAAAGTTCTTTTGATTTGTAGTGTGTGGCTCACACACACAACACACATGTAGCAAAAATAAACACAGTACATGTTGTCTGGTTTTCTTCAACTTCATTCCCAGAGTAATAACACTTTAATTAACATCTAAACAGACCTGGCACTGTGTTTTGTTGTTGCTGTTTGTTCTGTGTATTTTTATAGTGACATGTCTCTCTCCCCCCTCACTCCCTCTCCCCCTCCCTCTCATACTGCTCCCCTTCTCTCCTCCACTTTTTCCTCTCTTCTTCTCCCTCCTCCTCCTCCTCCTCCTTCTTCTTTCCATCTCCCTCTCCCCCCCTCACCCCTCTCCCTCACCATCCTTCTTCCCCACTCACCCCCTTCGCTCTCTCTTTCTCCTCTCTCCCCCTCTGTCACCTTCTCTCCCTCTCTCAGGACCGGCAGGCGGAGTCACTGTTATCGCATCGTCTACCGCCACATGGAGCGGACTCTGACCCAGCAGGAGGTTCGACTCGTCCAGGAGCAAATTGAACGCACCTCCGAGACCGAGCTTGGCGTGCAGGGCAGATACTGACTGGCACACGCGCACACATACACACACACACAAACACACACACACACACACTCACTCACTCACTCGGCTGCAGCTTCGTCACGTCGTTGTAGCTGTGATATTTTATATTTTGCTGCAGGGGGAAACGTGTTGACTTCAACGTCACGCTCAGCTTTTGATGCTGCTGCCAACACACACACACACACACACACACACACACACACACACACACACACACACACGATACGTCATCTTGTGTTTTCTCCTCTTCAGATTGAAAAGTCTAAATTTGACGTGTGTCATCTCTAATTTCCTAAAACATCCTGTGTGTGTGTGTTGAGTCGGCGGTCACGCACCGCAGCTTCAAGCCACTGCAACGTGTCGATTCAGATTTTCTGACGGCAGCCAGAAGCAGCCGAACCTCAGCAGCTGTTCTATTGCTGATCACAGACCAGAGAGGATGACTGTAACAACAGTATTCTCTCTTTTTCAGCAGATTCACACTGACATCTTATACTAAAGGAAAATTCCAACACTTTTCTTCATTTCTATCAGTTATATCAGTTAATAAATTAATGCTCAACAAGGTTAAGTCCTGCTATCTTAGAGGTAACAGCTTAAATTATGACCATAAGACTTAGGTCGACATAAACTGAAATGATGCTTTAATTTTTAACAACACCTATAAATTTTCTTTTCTTTTCTTTTCTTTTTTTAAGGTTAAGTCCAGGGACTTTTTGTTCTTGAGATGCCATCGGGTTAATATGATGATATGCAGCATTCAAATTCAATTTTTTAACAAGTCAAATACACAGTGGGAGGGAATATCTATGATTTAAATGATTGAACAACTGTGAGATTCAATCATTTCATTAATTTTCTGTGACCACTTGTACTGCTGGGGGTCGCGGGAGGGCTGGAGCCTATCCCAGCTGACATTGGAAGAGAGGCGGGGCGCACCCTGGACAGGTCGCCAGACTATTGCAGGGCTAATATATAGAGACAAACAACCATTCACGCTCACATTCACACCAACGTGAATTCACACCTACGGGCAATTTATTGTCACCAATTAACCTGCATGTCTTTGGACTGTGGGATTAAGACGGAATATCCAGAGAAAACCCACGCTGACACGGGGAGAACATGCAAACTCCACACAGAAGGGCTCCCCACCCTGGGTGTGAACCCCCCACCCTGGGTGTGAACCCCCCACCCTGGGTTTGAACCAGGAACCCTCGTGCTGTGAGGTGACAATGCTAGACACTTTACCACTGTGCCGCCACAACCTGAGATGATTTCAAATGTTTTTAAAGGAATACTTCACCCACAAAAAAATAATTTGCACATCAGTTAGTCACCCTGTGTTGCACTGAATTTGTGAAGAAAGCTTTGTTTTTCTCACATGCCTCCTCCACACTAAATGAAGAATCCCAAAACAGAAAAAAACTCTTAATGAGCTGAAGTCATAGGGGTCCAAATTTAACAACCGCCAAACTATATCAAAACATCTGTTTACAAAATCTCACAAAACTTGTGAAGTCCAATCCAAGTCTCATTTATCCAGTCATATGCTCACATATGCTAGTCTAATTCACTGCATGTAGACTGTGGCTATAAACCTGCCATTGGCTGACTATTTAGACCAGCATCCTCTCTCCCTTTTGCTTTCTGTGTGTCACCATTTCCAAATCCATTTCACTACAGTAAACAACAACAACCTGCAAATTAACAACTTAGGTGCTGAAAATGGCAAGTTTTGACAAAGATTTGGATTGTGCAACAAGGCATGCCTGCTTTGTTCTTTACGTGAATTGTTGTTAAGATCTATAACGAATAAAACAACCTGTTAACCACCTCTTTGTAAATCTTCAGATGTTGATCTCTTTTCTGATAGTCTGAGTTAATCTGCTACGTCAATTCGTTTTTCTCACAGTCATACCCTGACTCCTCACCAGATCAGCAAACTTTCTGTTGCCACTGTCAGTGGAGCTGTTCTCCACCTGGAGAGTCTGCCTGGTTGGCACAAGCTAACATCCAGCACTGGGCTGTTAAATTGTCCCAACAAACTCACACTAATACAGAAATGGCTCAAGTCTGCCATTGAACCCATTATTAACCATTAAGGCCCAGACACACCAAACCAACTTCAGAGAACTAGTGGCGACTAAGGCCGCCTGCTGTTTTGCCATTCGTCGCCATGGCTTAGCAAAAAAAAGTTATACATGAACTCACTGCAAACACTATAGCTGATGGCCAACTAGCATGTATGTTCTGTGCCTGCATGAGAGGAAATAACTCTCATAGCAGCAGGCAGCAGTTGTCTGTATTTATCATTCAAAAAGGAAAACCAGAAGAACGTCTTGATGCTAGTTAGCCGGTTACCACATTAACAACATAATCCAGTGTTGAAAGAACAGAGCATATTTACCGTGCGCCAGTGAACAATAACACAAACCATCAGGAAAAGTTTCTGCTGAAGGCCTCAGTGGATAAAGTAAAACAACCTCACCTTATATAACAAGTTTGTTTTGGCCTTACTTCCTGTTGACTTTAGCTCTTAATTTATTTTACTCACTTCCGTTTCTCTTCTCATGCGCTGAGCTGGACTGACAATCAGAGGGATTTATTCACCTTTGAACTCCGCCATCACTGACACTGATTCAACATGATGAATCAGCAGACAAAATGTCAACTACGCTGATGAAGCCAACGGTGCAGGACATACTGCAAGACCGGCAACAGACGCCTAAATTTAACTGATGGCCAACCGTCGGCTTGGTGTGTCAGGGCCTCTGGGTAATGTTAGCCATATGATGCTAACAGTTAGCCCTGTCACTGTGTGTGTTCCCACTGATTGGTTTAAAGAAACACAAACAAGCCAGAGCGTTTTTTTACCTATAGCAGAAAGAAAATCAGTGACTCTAGGATTTTCTCAAATGTTACACAGTGCTGTGGTGATAGGTCTGACTATGTGAAACAGTGCCCAGACAGAAAGACTTTTCCATCGGGAAACTGAACTAAAGATGAAAATTTGGTGAATATATATTTTTTGAAATAGTTTGCTGTTGCTAAATGTGGACCCCTGTGACTTAAATTCATCAAGAATTTTCTTCCTGTTTTTGGATTCTTTGTTCACAGTGGAGGCACGTGAGAAAAATAAGTTTGTTTGTTTTTTATTAAATGTAACACAGGGTGAGTGATATACAAATGATCATTTTGTGGGTGAAGTGTTCCCTTAAAAACCTAAACTTTCCCCTGAAAAACGTACGAGTCAAGTCCTTCAAATTAACGTCATGAGTTAAATTTCTGAACAAAACCTTACTTGTCTGTGCACCAGATGAAATGTTCCATCTGAATTTAAAGAATCCACATTCTTAATTTGTGTCACCATGTTCTGAACTTTAAACTCTTAACAGTTTCAGGACTAAAGTAGTAAAACTCAAGAGGAGAAAACACTGAACACAAACCCTTCACAGGTTCTGTATTCATCTTTATTCAACTGCTTCAGCTTCAGTCAGCTGAACATGAATGAAGAGTCTGGTGTTTGGATGTTCACAGAAACAGAACACCAAATCCAAACATCAGAGAAGTTTTTTGATTATTATGAATAGAAAATGTCTGTAGCTTTAACTAAAGCTGTGTGTTTGTATGTTTTGTTTTTTGTTTTCTGACGGGTTTGTATCTTTAGATTTGAACATTAAAACTGTTTGTTACATGCTTCTCCCTGTGTATCATTATTTACCCTCAAAAATGTTTCCACTGACTTCACATGAACAGATGCTGATGAAGTCAAAGGAAATTGATAAAAATCTACACATCCTGAAATAACAGTAGGAGACAGATTTTACAGGTGATAATAAAATGATTTTTAAAAAGTCACACTTTATCTTATTAGAATGCAAAAGTCAGCATATAGAATGTGCATAACTTGTGAAATCTTGCATGTATTCATATGAGCAAAGTTGAATTCAAACTTAAGATGCTCAGCGTAACTATCTAAAATACTTTGATTTTATGACTTTTTTATACATGTTTCAACACTGTAACTGTGGTTTTTGAGTCTGCCTAATTATACTTAGAAAACAGAAGACCACTTATTGTCAGTCCTGCAGATTTCTTCATTAAACACATTAAACATCACAATCATATGGCATAAATATGACTGAACTGATAGATTCAAACTGAATCCACACAGCTGCAGAGATCTTGAATACATTGATGAGAACAGCATTTTAAGACTGTGCTTTTAGAAATGTAACCAAGCTCAGCGATGAAAAATAACTAAGTACATTTTTTGAGGTACTTGTGCTTTTCTTGATCATTTCCACTTTCTGCTACTTGGTAAGAGACCTCATGTTCTTTGTTCTTCAAACAAAGGAAAGTCATTTAGCCCTTTCTCCACAGGATGCCCCACTGCACACCTCAGTGAGAGACCAGTTTCCAAACCTGATTGGACAGTACTTTCAGGCCCGTTTATACGACAACGATTTCAACTGAAAACGGTAAACTTTAGTTGCGTTTTGGCTGATCGTTTACACGACAGCAGCGTTTTGGGTGCCTGAAAACACAACATTTTGAAAACGGGTTCCAGAGTGCAATTGTTTTGAAACGACAGCGTCTCCATTGTCATGTAAATTTGCAATATGCAGTTCTTCTGAAAATGGAGACTTTTCGCACATGCGCATTACGGTTCCAGTCACTAGGCATGCGCAAGAAAGTCGACCGTCACAACAACAATGCCGAGTTCTGTTTGTGCTGCTCACCCTGTTGATTTGAAGTGAAGTGTAGAACTGTTACTGTAGCAACTCCACCTCGTCGTCCATCCAGATAGTTATCTGTGCATGCTTTTGCCATTGTGTCTTCTTTGTTTTGGTTTGTAATCACCGCGTTGTAGAGGAAGGCGCTTCAGCACAGGCGCATGACGTCATGCTGTGGTGTTGCTTTGCAAATTTACACTGCCACCCATTGGCCTGGCGTGCATACTACAGCGTTTCCAGTAGATTTTGCAGCCTTCAATAACGTCGTCATATAAACGCATAAGTTTTTTAAAACGCAAAGGACAGACTTTTCTGTTTTTAGAGAAACTGTTGTCATCTAAACAGGGCCTCACAGTGACATGTGACTCTGTGATGTCACCATACAAACTGTAGGAGAAGTTATGCATTCCTTACTCTTAAGCATATTTTCCACCGCATAGGGGTAAACATATTGGCGCCCTTCTGCCACAGGAGGGGCTGCTGATGACTTGTGGGAGGAGCTTCTGATGACGCTGCACATCTCTTTCTCATGCTCCACTGGCGGTGGACTTACAGGAAACAGCTAATAGAAGGAAAAAGCAGCTAGTAGCAAGAGGGAAACG